CGCAAAAAGGGTTACAGAGGTCACAAAAGGTCTCTTATCAGACCTTAACAGAGATTATTACATTAACAATTACATATATCCTTCACACATTATAAGTAAATTGTCAGCTAGTTACAGCGTGCGCAAGAACCCAGTTCTTCACCTTATACCCTAGGGGACTGAACCCCGACCCCGCACGATGTCAGGCTCTTGCCCACCATTATCTGGTTGATACCTGGTTGATGGGGTGCTGGGAGTTCTTCTACTCCCCAAGCCCAGCCCGAGGCCAGGCTTGACTTGTGCGAGTTTGGTCCACTAAGTTTTAAGATAATCTCCATTGTTTTTTTTTAATTGAATCCTGGTGTATTGGACCCAAATTTCCCCCCAAGAGTTCTGCCACTAAGTTCTGTCCTGTCAATTCAGATGTTTCGTACAATGACGTACTCTAGAATGTGTATGATATGTATATAGCATATATGTATGTGTATAGAATGATCGTGTATGATCATTCCAAATCATTCAATTTGGAATGAATGTAATCTTTTTTAATTGGTCAGTAACTTTGGATCAGAGGTGTGAAAGAGGTCATAAAGAGCTCCATAAGCGGCCGAGACGATTGTGCCGTAATCAGAAACACAATCAGTAGCTCCCACCATTACCTAAGATTACCCCCAATATTGTGTCTAAATAAAGAGTATTGTCTTAAGGTAATTTTGGGATACCTTTTAGTTGTGAGAGGGCATTGATGTATGGGGGGGGTTGTAAGAGGGCATTGATGTATGGGGGGGTTGTAAGAGGGCATTGATGCATGGGGGGGGGGGGGTTGTAAGAGGGCATTGATGTATGGGGGGGGTATAAGAGGGCATTGATGCATGGGGGGGGGGTGTAAGAGGGCATTGATGCATGGGGGGGTTGTAAGAGGGCATTGATGTATGGGGGGGTTGTAAGAGGGCATTGATGTATGGGGGGTTGTAAGAGGGCATTGATGCATGGGGGGGTTGTGAGAAGGCATGATGCATGGGGGGGGGTTGTGAGAAGGCATTGATGCATGGGGGGGTTGTGAGAAGGCATTGATGCATGGGGGGTGGTTGTGAGAAGGCATTGATGCATGGAGGGGTTGTGAGAAGGCATTGATGCATGGGGGTGGTTGTGAGAGGGCATGATGCATGGGGGGTGGTTGTGAGAAGGCATTGATGCATGGGGGGGTTGTGAGAAGGCATTGATGCATGGGGGTGGTTGTGAGAAGGCATTGATGCATGGGGGGTTGTGAAAAGGCATTGATGTATGGGGGGGTTGTGAGAAGGCATTGATGCATGGGGGTAGTTGTGAGAGGGCATTGATGCATGGGGGGGTTGTGAGAAGGCATTGATGCATGGGGGTGGTTGTGAGAGGGCATTGATGCATGGGGGGTGGTTGTGAGAAGGCATTGATGCATGGGGGGGTTGTGAGAAGGCATTGATGCATGGGTGTGGTTGTGAGAAGGCATTGATGCATGGGGGGTTGTGAAAAGGCATTGATGTATGGGGGGGTTGTGAGAAGGCATTGATGCATGGGGGTAGTTGTGAGAGGGCATTGATGCATGGGGGTGGTTGTGAGAAGGCATTGATGCATGGGGGTAGTTGTGAGAGGGCATTGATGCATGGGGGGGGGGGTTGTGAGAAGGCATTGATGCATGGGGGGGTTGTGAGAAGGCATTGATGCATGGGGGTGGTTGTGAGAAGGCATTGATGCATGGGGGGTTGTGAAAAGGCATTGATGTATGGGGGGGTTGTGAGAAGGCATTGATGCATGGGGGTAGTTGTGAGAGGGCATTGATGCATGGGGGTGGTTGTGAGAAGGCATTGATGCATGGGGGTAGTTGTGAGAGGGCATTGATGCATGGGGGGGGGTTGTGAGAAGGCATTGATGCATGGGGGTGGTTGTTGTGAGAAGGCATTGATGCATGGGGTGGTTGTTGTGAGAGGGCATTGATGCATGCTGGGGGGGGGGTTGTAAGAGGGCATTGATGCATGGGTTGGGGGATGTAAGAGGGCATTGATGCATGGGGGGGGTTGTAAGAGGGCATTGATGCATGGGGGTGGGTTGTGAGAAGGCATTGATGCATGGGGGGGAGTTGTAAGAGGGCATTGATGCATGGGGGGTTTGTGAGAGGGCATTACTGAGGCCTCGTGGCAGCCTGAGTCGTGAGTAAGATGAGCATTATGACTTCTGAACTTCCGCTGCGGGCGTTACCTGAGAAGTGATAATACTTCTCACTCCCTCTCCTCTCTCTCACCTCCGCTCCCCCTCCCTCCTTCCCTTCTCTTTCACCTCTTCCCTCTCCCATTTCACCTATGGAACTTGTATTTAATTATCCACTGGTTATCCCAGCATAGTTACCTTTCACCAGGCAGGTACCGCGTGTTTGTGGGGCTAAAACGCCCTTGTGTCGAGAGCAAGGGCGTTGGGCTCGTGCAGAAAAGCCCGCGAAAAGCCCTTCGCGCCATTTCGCGGGCTTTTTTTTCAACCTTCAACCCAACCTGTGTCTTTTGTGTCTTCCTCTCGCACACGATCTTCATCTGTCCTTACGACTCCCATGGGAGTTACCTGAGTAGCAGTACCTCTGCTACTTTCGACAGGGTGATATTCCGACCCCGCCCCCTCCCTCCCTCCTGCTCCCCCTTCACGAGGGTGGTAGGGTGACCTGACCTCCCTCCACGAGGGTGGTAGGGTGACCTGACCTCCCTCCACGAGGGTGGTAGGGTGACCTGACCTCCCTCCACGAGGGTGGTAGGGTGACCTGACCTCCCTCCACGAGGGTGGTAGGGTGACCTGACCTCCCTCCACGAGGGTGGTAGGGTGATCTGACCTCCCTCCACGAGGGTGGTAGGGTGATCTGACCTCCCTCCACGACCCCCTCGGGCTGGCCCCTCTCTCTCCATGTGATGTCTTCCCACTCTCACGCCGCATTTTGCTGTGTATTACGACTCTCATGCTATTCCCAGGCTCCCGGGAACCCCTGGTGTATTGTGCCTATAAACTGATTGTCAACAGAGCCAACGACCCGCCTGGCTGAGCTAATAACACCTAGTCGTACTGGGTGTCGTAGAGGGCGTGTGGGGGTGTAGTGCTCGTGTGGAGGTGTAGTCCGTGTGTGGACACGCGCTCACTCTCTCTCTCTCTCTCTCTCTCTCTCTCTCTCTCTCTCTCTCTCTCTCTCTCTCTCTCTCTCTCTCTCTCTCTCTCTCTCTCTCTCTCTCTCCAGGAAACAGAAGTGTGGATTGTGATGTTAAGGGGTGTTAAGGGGAGAGGGAGGATGAGGGCAGCATCCATCCTGCCGGGATGAGGGCAGCATCCATCCTGCCGGGATGAGGGCAGCATCCATCCTGCCGGGATGAGGGCAGCATCCATCCTGCCGGGATGAGGGCAGCATCCATCCTGCCGGGATGAGGCCAGCATCCATCCTGCCGGGATGAGGGCAGCATCCATCCTGCCGGGATGAGGGCAGCATCCATCCTGCCGGGATGAGGCCAGCATCCATCCTGCCGGGATGAGGCCAGCATCCATCCTGCCGGGATGAGGGCAGCATCCATCCTGCCGGGATGAGGGCAGCATCCATCCTGCCGGGATGAGGGCAGCATCCATTCTGCCGGGATGAGGCCAGCATCCATCCTGCCGGGATGAGGGCAGCATCCATCCTGCCGGGATGAGGCCAGCATCCATCCTGCCGGGATGAGGCCAGCATCCATCCTGCCGGGATGAGGCCAGCATCCATCCTGCCGGGATGAGGGCAGCATCCATCCTGCCGGGATGAGGGCAGCATCCATCCTGCCGGGATGAGGGCAGCATCCATCCTGCCGGGATGAGGGCAGCATCCATCCTGCTGTCAGCATCAGCAGGAGAGGCGAGCGCGGCACCGCCCGGTCCTACAACTTGTGTAGAGTTAAGAGCAACGAAAAAATTTCTATTAACAAACGCACATAAATCGGTTCATTTGCATCTATATGTGGAAATACCAGTGGCAGAGGGGCTCAAGCACGAGCTCTGGGCGAGGGTAATATGTGGGCCCTCTGGAGGAGGTCCACAAGAGCGGGAATCCTGGCCCCCGGGCCTGGAGGAGAGGTGGGCCCCTGCTGCACGGTGCTAGAGTCGCTTGCATAGGTAATGCCGAGAGAGAGAGCATAATGTCGCTAGACTAAATGAAAATCTATGTACTTTAATTTAGCCGGTTGCGAACTAAGTTGTCCCCCAGGGAGGGATAAGTTTGGTGGCGGATTTCCTGCGTGCGAGGGTAGGGCAGGAGCCCCACACGCACGCCCTCTTCTCCCTTCCTCCACCGGGGCACAAGGGCGAGAGTCCTGGCCAAGTTTTTCTGGCCGCTAGGGCCCGTCTTGCTCCCACGGTTCGGAATGCTATTATGAAAGCGATGGAGCTGAAATTGAAGGATACCTGTCTGTCTTGTTCAATTTTGTCCATCAAGAGAGAGTGAGTGAGTGAGGAGACCCAGTTGGTTGGTGGTGTGGTTGGCCAGAACCAAACTGCGTGTGTGTGGCTTGGTTGTGAGGCAGACGACCTGCTCTGTGTAGCACTGTACTCATCCTCCAACTGTATTTCTCCTCTACATCCCACCTGTATCTCGTCTGTATTCCGGCAGGGAAATATCACTACACAGATACAGACAGCAATATAGACATGGGTGGGATAGATTAATGGGGAAGGGGAACCAATGGATGAAGACTCGTGGGGCGGGGGGGGGGGAGGCTAATGGCTAAGGGGGAAGCAATATACTGAAGCCAAACGGGATTGAATAAAAAGATGCAACCAAGGATTGGAGACGGGTGGTAAATATATGTAAGATTGGTGTTCTGAGGGCAGGGAGGATTGGAATAGACAGTAATAGCATAACCCATTATTGTGCTCCCATTACTAACCCATTATTGTGCTACTATTACTAATCATTAACACACTGCCACAGTGACAATACCATAATTATGATATTTAGCAATGAATTAGTTTTTGACGCTGGTGTATGTGTTCTACAGCCTCCCTACGGCAGCTTTGGGAGCGAGGAGCCCGCCTACGGGGACCTGCAGGGTCTGGCCTCCACACTCCCCCAGCAGGAGCCAGACACCACCACCGCCGCCCACTCCCACCCGCACCACGCCCAGGGCTTGTACCAGCACCCGGTGAGCTACTCTACAACCACCCCCTCTGTGTGTGTGTGTGTGTGTGTGTGTGTGTGTGTGTGTGTGTGTGTGTGTGTGTGTGTGTGTGTGTAATTACCTAAGTGTAGTTACAGGATGAGAGCTACGTTCGTGGTGTCCCGTCTTCCCACTACTCTTTGTCATATAACGCTTTGAAACTACTGACGGTCTTGGCCTCCACCACCTTCTCACCTAACTTGTTCCAGCATCGTGTGTGTGTGTGTGTGAGTGTGTGTGTGTGTGTGAGTGTGGGGTTGGCCTTGGCCTTTACTTATTGTTTCATATTTGGAATATGTATTGATACCAGATTGTGAGTGATAAGTTACAATATTCTGGATCTGGGCCCAGATTCACGAAGCAGTTACGCAAGTACTTACGAACATGTACATCTTTCCTCAATCTTTGACAGCCTTGGTTACATTTATTAAACAGTTTACAAGCATGAAAACTGGCCAATCAACCTGTTATTATTGTTACAAACAGCCTCCTGGTGCTTCGGAGCTCATTAACTGTTTAATAATTGTAAGCAAAGCTGCCAAAGATTGAGAAAAGATGGACAGGTTCGTAAGTGCTTGGGTAACTGCTTCCTGAATCTGGCCCATGGTTTCCTCGTTAAGTTTCACCTACAGTAAATAAAAGTTCAGCTTTCGGTAAATGTTGTCTATAGTGATTATATTTTGTCCACACTTACAACTGAATGTTTGCTCTAAACTTTGGCAAAGTTGTAAGTAAACTTGTTGAGAAAGTTGTGTGTCGTTGAGACCAAATAATGCGTATTAAGACGTCGGTTCCTGGTTACCAGTCAGCCCAGGTGAGTGTGTGTATGGAATATTGACCTATGAAGCCTGGTCGGGGACCGGGCCGCGGGGATATCGAGCCCCGAAATCGTCTCACGGTAACCCATCTCGCACACAGTTCAGCGCAGTAGTTAGCGCAGTGTGTTCCCATCAGAATGGTCCATCCAAACCTCCCGCTCCTCTAACTCTAGCCACCGTGTCAGGAACCTATACAATATACAATAATTATACAATACTGTATACAACCAATACAATAATTGTTTCATTTTTGCCCAACAGATGGCGGTGGCCGGGAGCATGGGGGTGGCCAACCCGCAGTTCCCTCCCCAGAACCTCTACATCCCGCCCATCTCCCAACACAGTCACATGGTTCCTGCACAGTAAGTATCTACGCTTCCTTGCACCGTACTGTTCACGTCTCCTCCTCTCTGTGTACTTATTCTCCTCACATGGCCCTAGACACCCCCGTCTCTGGAAGATATTTTACACACCAAAACTATGTTAGGCTAGCAAGGCTAGTCTATGTTAGGCTAGCAAGGCTAGTCTATGTTAGGCTAGCAAGGCTAGTCTATGTTAGGCTAGCAAGGCTAGTCTATGTTAGGTTAGCAAGGCTAGTCTATGTTAGGCTAGCAAGGCTAGTCTATGTTAGGCTAGCAAGGCTAGTCTATGTTAGGCTAGCAAGGCTAGTCTATGTTAGGCTAGCAAGGCTAGTCTATGTTAGGCTAGCAAGGCTAGTCTATGTTAGGCTAGCAAGGCTAGTCTATGTTAGGCTAGCAAGGCTAGTCTATGTTAGGCTAGCAAGGCTAGTCTATGTTAGGCTAGCAAGGCTAGTCTATGTTAGGTTAGCAAGGCTAGTCTATGTTAGGCTAGCAGGGTCAGTCTATGTTAGGTTAGCAAGGCTAGTCTATGTTAGGCTAGCAAGGCTAGTCTATGTTAGGCTAGCAAGACTAGTCTATGTTAGGCTAGCAAGGCTAGTCTATGTTAGGCTAGCAAGGCTACTCTATGTTAGGCTAGCAAGACTAGTCTATGTTATGCTAGCAAGGCTAGTCTATGTTAGGCTAGCAAGGCTAGTCTATGTTAGGCTAGCAAGGCTAGTCTATGTTAGGTTAGCAAGGCTAGTCTATGTTAGGCTAGCAGGGTCAGTCTATGTTAGGTTAGCAAGGCTAGTCTATGTTAGGCTAGCAAGGCTAGTCTATGTTAGGCTAGCAAGACTAGTCTATGTTAGGCTAGCAAGGCTAGTCTATGTTAGGCTAGCAAGGCTACTCTATGTTAGGCTAGCAAGACTAGTCTATGTTAGGCTAGCAAGGCTAGTCTATGTTAGGCTAGCAAGGCTAGTCTATGTTAGGCTAGCAAGGCTAGTCTGTGTTAGGCTAGCAAGGCTAGTCTGTGTTAGGCTAGCAAGGCTAGTCTGTGTTAGGCTAGTAAGGCTAGTCTATGTTAGGCTAGCAAGGCTAGTCTATGTTAGGCTAGCAAGGCTAGTCTGTGTTAGGCTAGTAAGGCTAGTCTATGTTAGGCTAGCAAGGCTAGTCTATGTTAGGCTAGCAAGGCTAGTCTGTGTTAGGCTAGCAAGGCTAGTCTGTGTTAGGCTAGCAAGGCTAGTCTATGTTAGGCTAGCAAGGCTAGTCTGTGTTAGGCTAGCAAGGCTAGTCTGTGTTAGGCTAGCAAGGCTAGTCTATGTTAGGCTAGCAAGGCTAGTCTATGTTAGGCTAGCAACGCCAGTCTGTTAGGCTAGCAAATTTATTTAGTATTTCTTCCTTGCAGAAGAACTCTGAGAATCCCGTCAAGGTTATGATGGGTTCAACAATCATTATCTGCAAATTGGTTTTGTTATATTCTAGGGGGCTATAACGATTGGAAATAGGTAATAGGCAAGGAAGATACATGTAATAAAATACAGTAGAGAGATTTAACAACCTGTAATAGGCTAGGTTAACAACCTAATGAGAAATATTTAACATTCAAAAGGAAGGCTTAGAAGGAAATACGTGAAGATTTGAATTATCCTATTTTAAATAAATAGGCTAGGAAGGGACACCACCATCAAATGACAGACTTCAGAATTAAATCTAATCTTTAAGGGCATAAACCTTTTAGAAATTAATTTTCCATTGTAATACACAAATTATTTTTTCCCCCCATGTCTATTTTGTAACTGGGAGCTACAAATCATGAGAATAATTTATAAGTAACTTTTTTTTTTGTGCGCGCCAGATAAGTGTTTTAAAATAAGCTTTTGGATTAAGTCGGCCAAAAGCTGACAGTTTTCCAATAAATTACTTGTCGATTATAATTTTTTTTACAGCGATTTGTGATTTTCAGAGTAAATTTAGGAAAATTTCCAGTGCCATCTTTTGAATGTATTATATGTGGATATGCAACCCGTTCTCCACTTGCTTATAGTCAATATTTGGCTTATTAATAAGTGCATATGTGACATACTAATTTATTGTGAATATTTGAGTTTGCCTTGAAAAGCTGAATAGAAAACACCGACCTAACCTAACCTTCTTAGTATGTTAAGATAAGCATCTTATTGCTTCTTAATTACAATTAGTACTTAACCTATACCTATATTGATATTACAGTTTTATAAAAATAATAAAACTAAAATATTTAAATAACTTGTAAAGTAACTTAGGATATTGTCAAATTTTGTGTAAAATCTCTATTGTTTAATAAACCTGAAAAAGAAATTCCTAATATTAAAAATGGTGTATAGCAAATCTATAAGAAGAGTTTGTACGTTGAAAACACAATATAACTAGGAATATACCACATATGTACTTATTAATAAGCCAAATAATGACTATAAGCAATAAGTCATATATGTACTGTCTTGTGCGAGAGCGGGTTGCAATATTGTGTGTGTGTATATATATATATATATATATATATATATATATATATATATATATATATATATATATATATATAATAATAATATGTATATAATGCGAACAAGCCTGAATAGTTCCCAGGCGTATATGCAACTGAAAACTCCACACCCCAGGAGTTTTCAGTTATACTGTGTGTGTATATGTATGTTGTACCTAGTAGCCAGAACGTCGTACTCCGACTACTATGCAAGACCCGATTTGTCTAATAAGCCAAGTTTTCTTGAATTAATATATTTTTCTAATTTGTTTCTTATGGAATGATAAAGCTGTACATTTCATGATGTATGAGTTAATTTTGTTTAATTTGACTTAAAACTAATATAGATAAATGACCAAACCTGACCAACTCTACCTAACCTAACCTATCCTATCTTAACCTAACCTAACCTAACCAACTCTACCTAACCTAACCTATCCTATCTTAACCTAACCTAAACATAACTAAGTCAATAATTTATGTTCTTAATATAAAATAATAATGATAATTCAAATAAGCCAATTGGAAATTTGTTGTTGAAAATAGAGAAAATCACTCGGCCTATTAGGCAAATCGGGCCTTACATAGTAGGCCGAGAAATGCGTTCTGGCTACTAGGTACGACATATATATATATATATATATATAATATAATATTAAAAAATTAACTTATGATAGGCTACATTAGATAAATACAATAATTATGCTTATGAACAAAATCATTACTCAAGTTATTTTTATTACATTAGAATGAAGGCTCATTTTTTTGGGGTTGTAATTGCATCCTAATTAATTTTGATTATTAAATTACACAGCACTTCGAATGAATGAAATATATTTGAGCATTTTACATGTAATGAGTTGGTTAGTACCTTGTTTGTGACCCCTTGTTACTAGCGGCCACCCCTCTATAGCAGGAACTGTACACTAGCGGCCACCCCTCTATAGCAGGAACTGTACACTAGCGGCCACCCCTCAATAGCAGGAACTGTACACTAGCGGCCACCCCTCTATAGCAGGAACTGTACACTAGCGGCCACCCCTCTATAGCAGGAACTGTACACTAGCGGCCACCCCTCTATAGCAGGGACTGTACACTAGCGGCCACCCCTCTATAGCAGGAACTGTACACTAGCGGCCACCCCTCTATAGCAGGAACTGTACACTAGCGGCCACCCCTCTATAGCAGGAACTGTACACTAGCGGCCACCCCTCTATAGCAGGAACTGTACACTAGCGGCCACCCCTCTATAGCAGGAACTGTACACTAGCGGCCACCCCTCTATAGCAGGAACAGTACACTAGCGGCCACCCCTCTATAGCAGGAACTGTACACTAGCGGCCACCCCTCTATAGCAGGAACTGTACACTAGCGGCCACCCCTCTATAGCAGGAACTGTACACTAGCGGCCACCCCTCTATAGCAGGAACTGTACACTAGCGGCCACCCCTCTATAGCAGGAACTGTACACTAGCGGCCACCCCTCTATAGCAGGAACTGTACACTAGCGGCCACCCCTCTATAGCAGGAACTGTACACTAGCGGCCACCCCTCTATAGCAGGAACTGTACACTAGCGGCCACCTGTCTGTACCAGTAACTGTACACTAGCGGCCACCCCTCTATAGCAGGAACTGTACACTAGCGGCCACCTGTCTGTACCAGTAACTGTACACTAGCGGCCACCCCTCTATAGCAGGAACTGTACACTAGCGGCCACCTGTCTGTACCAGTAGTTGTACACTAGCGGCCACCCCTCTATAGCAGGAACTGTACACTAGCGGCCACCTGTCTGTACCAGTAACTGTACACTAGCGGCCACCTGTCTGTACCAGTAACTGTACACTAGCGGCCACCTGTCTGTACCAGTAACTGTACACTAGCGGCCACCCCTCTATAGCAGGAACTGTACACTAGCGGCCACCCCTCTATAGCAGGAACTGTACACTAGCGGCCACCCCCCTATAGCAGGAACTGTACACTAGCGGCCACCCCTCTATAGCAGGAACTGTACAATAGCGGCCACCCCCCTATAGCAGGAACTGTACACTAGCGGCCACCCCTCTATAGCAGGAACTGTACACTAGCGGCCACCCCTCTATAGCAGGAACTGTACACTAGCGGCCACCTGTCTGTACCAGTAACTGTACACTAGCGGCCACCCCTCTATAGCAGGAACTGTACACTAGCGGCCACCCCTCTATAGCAAGAACTTACACTAGCGGCCACCTGTCTGTACCAGTAACTGTACACTAGCGGCCACCCCTCTATAGCAGGAACTGTACACTAGCGGCCACCCCTCTATAGCAGGAACTGTACACTAGCGGCCACCTGTCTGTACCAGTAACTGTACACTAGCGGTCACCCCTCTATAGCAGGAACTGTACACTACCGGCCACCCCTCTATAGCAGGAACTGTACACTAGCGGCCACCCCTCTATAGCAGGAACTGTACACTAGCGGCCACCCCTCTATAGCAGGAACTGTACACTAGCGGCCACCCCTCTATAGCAAGAACTTACACTAGCGGCCACCCGTCTATAGCAGGAACTGTACACTAGCGGCCACCCCTCTATAGCAGGAACTGTACACTAGCGGCCACCCCTCTATAGCAAGAACTTACACTAGCGGCCACCTGTCTGTACCAGTAACTGTACACTATCGGCCACCCCTCTATAGCAGGAACTGTACACTAGCGGCCACCCCTCTATAGCAAGAACTTACACTAGCGGCCACCTGTCTGTACCAGTAACTGTACACTAGCGGCCACCCCTCTATAGCAGGAACTGTACACTAGCGGCCACCCCTCTATAGCAGGAACTGTACACTAGCGGCCACCTGTCTGTACCAGTAACTGTACACTAGCGGTCACCCCTCTATAGCAGGAACTGTACACTAGCGGCCACCCGTCAATAGCAGGAACTGTACACTAGCGGCCACCCCTCTATAGCAGGAACTGTACACTAGCGGCCACCCCTCTATAGCAGGAACTGTACACTAGCGGCCACCCGTCTATAGCAGGAACTGTACACTAGCGGCCACCCCTCTATAGCAGGAACTGTACACTAGCGGCCACCCCTGTATAGCAGGAACTGTACACTAGCGGCCACCCGTCTATAGCAGTAACTGTACACTAGCGGTCACCCCTCTATAGCAGGAACTGTACACTAGCGGCCACCCGTCTATAGCAGGAACTGTACACTAGCGGCCACCCCTCTATAGCAGGAACTGTACACTAGCGGCCACCCGTCTATAGCAGGAACTGTACACTAGCGGCCACCCCTCTATAGCAGGAACTGTACACTAGCGGCCACCCCTCTATAGCAGGAACTGTACACTAGCGGCCACCCCTCTATAGCAGGAACTGTACACTAGCGGCCACCCCTCTATAGCAGGAACTGTGCACTAGCGGCCACCCCTCTATAGCAGGAACTGTACACTAGCGGTCACCCCTCTATAGCAGGAACTGTACACTAGCGGCCACCCCTCTATAGCAGGAACTGTACACTAGCGGCCACCCGTCTATAGCAGGAACTGTACACTAGCGGCCACCCCTCTATAGCAGGAACTGTACACTAGCGGTCACCCGTCTATAGCAGGAACTGTACACTAGCGGCCACCCCTCTATAGCAGGAACTGTACACTAGCGGCCACCCCTCTATAGCAGGAACTGTACACTAGCGGCCACCCCTCTGTAGCAGGAACTGTACACTAGCGGCCACCCCTCTGTAGCAGGAACTGTACACTAGCGGCCACCCCTCTATAGCAGGAACTGTACACTAGCGGCCACCCCTCTATAGCAGGAACTGTACACTAGCGGCCACCCCTCTATAGCAGGAACTGTACACTAGCGGCCACCCGTCTATAGCAGGAACTGTACACTTGCGGCCACCCCTCTATAGCAGGAACTGTACACTAGCGGCCACCCGTCTATAGCAGGAACTGTACACTAGCGGCCACCCCTCTATAGCAGGAACTGTACACTAGCGGCCACCCCTCTATAGCAGGAACTGTACACTAGCGGCCACCCGTCTATAGCAGGAACTGTACACTAGCGGCCACCCCTCTATAGCAGGAACTGTACACTAGCGGCCACCCCTCTATAGCAGGAACTGTACACTAGCGGCCACCCCTCTATAGCAGGAACTGTACACTAGCGGCCACCCGTCTATAGCAGGAACTGTACACTACCGGCCACCCCTCTATAGCAGGAACTGTACACTAGCGGCCACCCCTCTATAGCAGGAACTTACACTACCGGCCACCTGTCTGTGAATGTAGTTGTTAGATAAGGTGTCCTTGTTCGACTGTTAAGGGTAACTGCTACTTAACTGCTAACGACACCCAGTTGTTGTTGTTAAAGATTTAGCTACTGAGGACTAAGTGTCCATGTAGCACGGGCTATGGTGATCCCGTAAAACGACACTGAGGGTTCGTTAGGTAGTGTTTGGGAGAGAAACGTTGTCTCTCGTAACTGTTCATTATAACCTGCCAAGATGTTCATCACCCTTGTTCACCAGCAACCACCCAAACTGTTCATTATAACACCCCCTCCCCCTTTGACAGTGTTCACTAGTATACCCACTAGTAGTGAACACCCTATGTGCACCCTGTATAGTACTCTATCAACCTATTAATGCCTGCTCTCTCCCTCCCAGCACCTCAGGGTACATGGTCCACCCTGGGTGCGGGCCCCCGACGCCCGTCTACACCAACGCCGGGCCCATCATGCACGGGGCGGGCCCACCTCAGGGGCCCCACATGATGGCAGGGATGATGGGCGGCGGGTACTACCCACGCCCGCCCATGGCACGTAATGGGGGCTCCCCTAACTCCGGAGGCTCCCCTTCCCCGGGCAGCGAGGACTCCGACGATTCCACGCCCCTGGCGCAGGTAAGTCCTGAAGCCCCTTGTGTGGCATATGTTATTTTTAACAGTTTGGTGAGAAATGTTTAGACGTTCGTATCGTCTAAATTTCGTACCGGAATTTGCAAATTCGTAGCCACGCTGTTGGCCTGGTGCTCAGAGTCGTGCCTGGCCTCGTGCCGGGCTTGGGGAGTAGAAGAACTCCCAGAACCCCATCAACCAGGTATTGGGGAGTAGAACTCCCAGAACCCCATCAACCAGGTATTAACCAGAGGGTTATCAAGGTAGAGAGAGATGATGCTACTTGGTCCAAGAGAAAGTGGCACATTCTTCTTGCAAGGTTCAGGCAAGGTTGGTGCAACATTGCGTCTTTCATTGTAATTGTGTCTGTAATTGCATCGGGCCCTAGGGAGGTGATCAGCACATAGGCTCAGTGAGCTATGTCCTATGGTTGTCAAGTTTCAGGCCTGTCAGACCATGTCAAGCTGGGAGACAGACTCCATACTGATGGGAAGTGTTGGCATTGAATATATATTTAGAAATAAGTTAAAGCAGAGCTGGATTTGTTAAGCTGTGAGATAGGTTGTGGAAAAAGACTCATGGAGTCAGTAAGAAGTTTTTTTTACTAGAGTAATTGTTTAAAGAATGATTTTGAGAAGGTTATTGAGCGCAAGTGTCAAGAACAGGCCCTCAACACACCAATCACAGGAATCTGCAAATGATCACATGATGTTTGTAACAACCCGTCCTCGACTCAAGTCCATTCCATCCAGCGGTCGACCCCACAGACGCATTAGTAAATTTTTACATGCTGTTCATTCAAAAAAGGAATTCTCTCAAATGTAAATTAATATTATAATACATTAGCATATTGTGCATATATAGGCATAGATTAGGTTAGGTGTTTAGGTTCTGTTGGCGATTATTTGTAATTGTAGTACGTGGGTGAAGCATTTACAGCGTTGTGGTTCGAACACAAGTCGTCAGTGAAGCACTTGTTCCGGAGTGTTCGGACGTCATCAGTTGTGAGTCGTGTGTAAACCGTTTTTCTTTCATAAACAGCGGGTTTGGCGGGTGCATGGAATGGACCTGCCAGACATATTCAACGCTCGAACATATTTCGAACACTGCGTCGCTGACAACCTCTGTTCGAACCACAACGCAGTAAATGCTTCACCCACGTACTACAAATACTAATAATCGCCAACAGAACCTAAACACCTAACCTAATCTATGCCTAACTATACAGAGAATATTAATATATAATAATAATTTATATACGAGAAGAAACCTATTTGTAACACACTACGTCAGGAGCACTGTAGAAGGCCGTCCTCGGGTGGACAGGACCCTTACGGGCTCACCATAGCCCGTGCTACTTGCAACTTTGTGTTCCCAGAAGCTGAATCTAAAACAACCACCACCACAACATACTGGTAGCTGCCACCAAACAGTCACTATAAGTACTGTCATGTTGACCAGACCACACACTAGAAAGTGAAGGGACGACTACGTTTCGATCCGTCCTGGACCATTCTCAAGTCGATCAAGTGAGGCTTCAAGTATCACTTCAGGAGGCCGGGGTGAAAAGTAGCCACTCCACCTTTGCAATGAATGAGTCGGTTAGCAATGAATGAGTCGGTTACGTCGGGGTCGTGCGTTGTTGTTGGGTTTAGATTCAGGTGCTCGGACCACGCAGTTCCACGTAGCTGTGGTGAGCCCGTGTGGGCATGGCCGCCACTCTGGGAAGTGGCTGCTGCGTCCTGGGGGCAAGAGTTTATTAGCCTCTGACCAGATTCATCATTTATAATTTGTCATGTATGTTAAATGACATGTAATCTACCTCTTGCACTACAGGTATAAATAAATATAATAAAATATATAATATATATATATATATATATAAAATATGTAAAAAATATGCATAGAATATATAAAAAAAATGAAATATTTAATAAAAGTATCATAATAAAAATAAAAATATATACAAATAATGAAAATATTATACTAAAAAATAAAAATACAAATAAATAATAAGTAACAATATATATACAAATAAAAATCATTAAAAATATATCCAGTATATAATATATAAAATACGCTAAAAATAATTAGAATAACAAATATTTATATAAATGTGTATAGTATAATTTTCTCTAGCTATCCGCGGCTAGGCTTGGATAGGCTGCGAGCCACATTGGCAACACACACACACACACACACACACACACACACACACACACACACACACACACACACACACACACACACACACACACACACACACACACACACACACACACACACACACACACACACACACACACACACACACACACACACACACACACACACACGCGCGCGCGCGCGCGCGCGTACAGGATTTTGCAATAGGTTGACGAACACAGTTTGCTCAAGTGGTGGTGGTTGACGAACCATCTAGCCACTGGTTGCCTCGTGGGTGATAGATGGTTGAATATGGATTTATTTGGTGGATGTCTTGTGGTTGACCAGGGAGAGTTTGGAGTTAGGGTTGCCTGGCCAGGTTAGTAGAGGCAGTGGAAAGATTGATGATATGGAGGAGCAGCGTGTTGGTCGTGCCCGTGCAGGCCGTGGGTGCCCAAGGTGTGTCGGGGGGAGGTAAGAGTAGTGTGGGTGCTGATCAACACCGATCTCCCCCCCCCCCTCCTCCCAATCTTTACGACATGGCCCCACTTTTGCATTCTGTTTTCTGGGATAGTTTCCGGACAGTATATCCCAATCCTGTGGACGACGGCGGCGATCTCTCCCACGGGCGCCTCTCCTCACCTCTCCCCCTTTCCTCTCTCCCTCCCCTCCCTCTCAGGTAGGAGGTATTGGGTGAATAAAATGCGCTACCCAAAATAATTCCCGGGTGGGTGCACCAGGGTCTATAAACAGCTTCAAGGGTAGATACAGCAGAGGAACAGGACGGGAGGGATCGAACCAGCGTCCGTTGTAACCGCAGTCGCGCGCCGTAACCTGTGGACCAGTGTGTGTACAGGTAAGGCAAGGTTCAGTAGGCTCTGGAACCTGTACTAACCCTGTTGATAGACAGTTGAGAGGCGGGACCCAGGAACTAAAGCTTAGTTAAACAATGGCAGGTAAATACACCCCCTCCCTCACCCACGTTCACCCCCCCCTACACCTTTCCCGCTCCCTGAGGGGGGGGGGGGGAGCTTGATGGGTATGGGCCTGACAGCTGAGTGGACAGCGCTTCGGATTCTTAGTCCTGAGGTTCCGGGTTCGATTCCCGGTGGAGGCTGAGACAAATGGACAAAATGTTTCTTTCACCCCGATGCCCCTGTTCACCTAGCATTAAATAGGTACCTGGGAGTTAGTCAGCTGCTACGGGCTGCTTCTGGGGGTGTGTAACAAAAAAAAAGAGGCCTGGTGGAGGACCGGGCCGCGGGGACGCTAAGCCCCGATATCATCTCAAGATAACCTCCCCAATACACCCGTGTTCCTCACCAGGACCTTGTGTGCCTCACCTAACAAAAGTGTGCTAGTTTTAGACAATATATTTTTTCATACAAAAAAAGTAATTTTAGTAATTTAATTACGAATCCCGAAAGTCTAGCAGCCGTTTCCTTCCCCTTACCCCCCCCCCCTCACCCCCCCCCCTCACTCCTCACACACTATCATCTCTCATTCAGCCTTAACCACCTCGTCAACAATTAAGGAGAGTTGAGCGGGCTGGGCGGTGGAGGGATGGTTTGTGATGCATGGCCGCCTCATCTGTGCTGGCCGGGGGCGCCTCATGCCTGCCTCATGAGGTCACACCTCATGCCTGCCTCATGAGTCTGGCCATCACTCATTCATGGCGGGTTTTGGCGGCGGGGCGGGCCGGCCGCCTCCTGCCGCTAGTCTCGATTTCCTTGTGCCGTGAATAATTCAATTTTCGTAATTGTTCACTAAATTATTGACGGCACAAGGCATTTAAGTGGAACAATTTAAGTAATGGGGTCACTTAAAGTTATTGAAATAACTTAGATTATTTGAATATTTGAAATAACTTAGATTATTTGAAATAACTTAGATTATTTGAAATAACTTAGATTATTTGAAATAACTTAGATTATTTGAAATAACTTAGGTTATTTGAATAACGTAAGCTGATCTTTTTATTTAGTTTTTTGGGTATGGATTCCTTTGGTGTGAGGCGCGGCTGATCAGTGTGTGTGAGCAATCAAGTTGTTTCTGCTATCAAGTCTCGGAACAGGAGACGCTGAATGACACTTGAATCGCCGTCACCATCTTGACCGTTAACATTCAAATTTGGTCAGGGTTTTTTCAAGAGCGTTGAGCTGGTGGCGACGGTTAATTAGTGAAGATGGTGTAGGGGGGGGCGGGGTCATGGGGGTGGGGGGGGGAGCACATGGCCAGGTTCACCCCCCCCCCCCCCCCCCCTCCACATGGTAAGGCTTCAGGGGCCAGATTCACGAAGCAGTTACCCAAGCACTTACAAACGTGTACATCTTTCATCAATCTTTGACGGCTTTGGTTACATTTATTAAACAGTTTACAAGCATGAAAACTTGCCAATCAACTGTTGTTATTGTTATAAACAGCCTCCTGGTGCTTCCCAGCTCATTAACTGTTTAATAATTGTAAACTAAGGAGCCAAAAATTGAGAAAAGATGTACAGGTTCGTAACTGTTGGCGTAACTTCTTCGTGAATCTGGCCCTAGGTACCCAGAACACCTTCCCACTTATTTCTCATTAACCCCCACCGCCCCCCCCCCCCCCTCCCCCCATCACCATGTGGCAGTTCTCTCCGGTAAATTGTTAAATGATGGTAGAATGCTTCAAAGGTCGCCCATCGTTTAGACGATGAGTCATTAAGAGCTGTAGTTAGGGTTGAATTGCATATATCCAAAAGTTTGTCATTTGATTATATTATTTGAACGATTTACAAGTGACCTTAGAATTGTTGGTTCAAAATATTAACATATATTTATTGTGGTAATATTTATACTTTGTATTGTAATTTCAGTTGTTTAATTGTGTTAACAACTAGAGGTTCAAATTTATCGATGGTTTAGTGCCATTGTGAGTGTTTTGAGTGCGTCATGGGGTATTATTGACAAATATTAATTATTGCGTGATGTTCACAGATGGGTCGAGGGAAGAGGCCTTCCTCGGACAGCGTGGAGGGCCCGGCCAGAGGCAAGAAGCCCAAGGTCTCCAAAAAGAGCAAGAAGAAGAAGGATCCCAACGAACCCAACAAGTGAGTCCCCCGTGGGATGTGGTTTATGTTTTGGTTCCCGTTTTCTGTGTCGGGTACGTGTACGTACGTGCGTACGTGAGTGTGTGTGCGTGCGCGCGCGCGTGCCCCGGGTGGATACCTTGGTGCCCTGTTTTAGTCTCCTTATAATATATATATATATATATATATATATATATATATATATATATATATATATATTATATATATATATATATAAATATATATATATATATATATATATATATGTCGTACCTAGTAGCCAGAACTCACTTCTCAGCCTACTATGCAAGGCCCGATTTGCCTAATAAGCCAAGTTTTCCTGAATTAATATATTTTCTCAAATTTTTTTCTTATGAAATGATAAAGCAACCCATTTCATTAAGTATGAAGTCAATTGTTTTTTATTGGAGATAAAATTAAAGTAGATATATGACCGAACCTAACCAACCCTACCTAACCTAACCTATCTTTATAGGTTAGGTTAGGTTAGGTAGCCGAAAAAGTTAGGTTAGGTTAGGTTAGGTAGGTTAGGTAGTCGAAAAACAATTAATTCATGAAAACTTGGCTTATTAGGCAAATCGGGCCTTGCATAGTAGGCTGAGAAGTGAGTTCTGGCTACTAGGTACGACATATATATATATATATATATATATTATATATATATATATATATATATATATTTATATTGTGACGGTAACGCGTTGGTGTTCGGCTGTTTATGGCGAGGGGTATGGTCTCGTCACATAGTTATAAAAAAAAAAAATAGAAAAACTGGAACTTCGTCTGTGGTAAGGTAAGGAGAAGACACACAAAACACAAGTAAAACTTTAACAATGAAATTTTAATTACGTTAAATAAATCAAAACATGAAAATAATGCACAAACAAATTCTTATAATAAAATCAATGAATCAAAATAATAAGAATTCTTAAATGACAAAATGAAAAGTTACGTTAAGGCAAAATAACAAGAAGTGCAATACAACAGTAAGTGGGAGGTGCTGGAATATTGGCTTAAAGCCACCACCTCTCTCAGTACACTCTAGAGTCTAGCTGGGAGGTGTGCTGGCTACGAAAGCACGGAACATTCTGAAGACTGATGTTGGGGCGACCCCAGACATCGGGTAGTATTGGGGGGGGGGGCGAGTGCAGGTGCAGCCAGACCGGCGACCAATCAGCGGAGTCGTAGCGATCAACGGGTAGTTTGGTGGTTGGAGTTCGAACAGGTGGCTGGTTGCATACGTTTCTGCTCACCCTGGCAAGCCTTGCTGGTGTTTGTTGTCGTTGTTGGACATTTCTTCCATAGTCTTTTATATAATTGTGAAGACGTAATTTTGGAGGGAAGAGCAGGCTCAATCTCTTGAAGGAGATTATCGTCACAACTCTCCCCCGAAGCCTGCGGTTCTGGAAGAAGTACGTCGTTATGTGGTGGAGTAATGGATGGAGTTGCTTCTACTTCATAAACTCTGGAGAGATCATGGGCTAAGATGTTGTCAGACTCTTGGTATAGCGTGTCTCCAGGTTGAATTTCTGCAGTTAGCAAGCCCATAGTAGAAGACGTTGAGATGAGAAGTGGGCGTGCTGCAGGAGGTGTAGGGTGGTGTGGTCCGTATTGATGGTGGACCGAGCACTTTTCAGGTGTGGAGTGAAGTGCTGAAGCTTCAGGATGAGGAAGAGTAGCTCCTTGCCAATTGTTCCGTCGTTCCTTGTAGCAGTAGTTGCTGACAGGTGTATTCTTCTCGCCTCGTTGCTGCATCACGACATCACCATCGTCGGTACCATTGGCGTCGACATGGAGGATGAAGGGCTTATCTGACGAGGTGAGAGTGGAATTAGAAGAGGGCATAGGAGCACGAGTATTATCCTGAAAGCATTTGGGAAGATCATTAAGGATTTTGGAATTAGAAAGCGCCGACTCCTTGTCAGTGCTTTCGGGAGAAGAAGCCGGGATGGTCTCACTGTGGATGTAGGGTTCTGTGAAGGTAGAACAATTAATCAAGACAGTGGGAGGAGTACCATTATATTGCTTCAGGAGGTTGACGTGGCACAGCTGGGTCTTCCGCCGCCTATCTGGAGTCTCTATCACATAATTATTATTATTCCTGCACTCTTTGACGCAGTAGGGTCCTGAAAATCTGTTTTGTAAAGGTGAACCTGGGATAGGGAAATAAGCAAGGACGAAGTCTCCCGGCTTGAATTTTCTTACTTTGCTGGTCTGGTCGTAATGAGTCTTCATTCTCACCTGGGCTTTCAATAGATTATCATGGGCAAAGCGGTGGACTCTCTCTAGAATGTGCTGAAGGTTTTGAAGAAACTGGGGCACATTCTGATGCTCACTGAAGGTGGCATCTCTGAGAGAGTCTTTGAAAGCCTTAAGGGGAGTACGGCACTTACGGCCGTAGAGCATCTCATAAGGAGATACTCCTAGGGACTCATTGGGGAGACTTCTGAAAATACACATTATTAGGTCAATCTGCTTATCCCAATCCTTTGAGGTTTCACTACAAAACTTTTTCAAGAGTGCTTTGATGGTCTGATGACTACGTTCAAGAGAACCCTGTGAAGCAGGATGATAGGGGCTGGACAATACCTGTTTGATGTTGAACTCCTCCAGTGTTCTTTTGAAGAGATCACTGGTGAAGTTGGTGCCACAGTCACTTTGAATCTCCCTGGGAAATCCGTATTGAGTGAAGATCTTCAGTAGATGTTTGATAACCGTAGCAGCCGTGATGTTCTTCACTGGAACTGCTATGGGAAATCTGGTGGTAGGACACAGGATGGTTAGGATGTAGGCGTTACCTGAACTGGTCCGAGGTAAAGGACCAACACAGTCTATTATGAGTCTGTGGAAAGGTTCCGCAGGCACCTGTATGGGAATCAGTGGTGCTCTGGGAATGGAGACGTTCGGTTTGCCTGCCATCTGACATGTATGACACTGTTTTACGTACTGTTTGACGTTATTTACCATACCTGGCCAGTAGTAGTCTTGACGAATCCCATGGTAAGTCTTGTTGAAGCCGTAGTGGGAGAATGATCCGTGGGCCAGGTGTAGAATAGTGGGCCGCAGGCTGGTGGGAATCACAAGTTGTTCGGTGTTGGCCCAATCGTCCTCCTCCTTCAGTTTACTGGGTCTATATCGGCGGTAGAGCAAGTCGTTCTCTAGGAAGAACCCAGGAATACTGTCGGGTTGAGTCTCAGCCTGGAAAAACAATGGTGTTAAAGTAAGATCTTCCCTCTGCAACTTACGGAACTCCAACTTGGTCAGATGCGGGGGTAGTTTCTGAGGGTCTTGAGGGACAGCGGTAGCAGTAGAGTCAGCTGGCTGTGGACGTGCGGCTTGTGCACGGGTGGTCACGAGAACCGGAGGAGAAACTTCACTCTCTTGAACCTCTGCTGGAACATACTCAAGAATAGGGTTACTTGGCACAGAGTTACACACCTGGGGTTTGTCCATGACGATCAGGTTGGTCGGTTGCAGGTCTTCTGCCAAGTCGTTGCCTAGGAGAAGTTGCACTCCAGGCATGGGAAAAGGCTTTTCCCTGACGGCGACTTGGACTTCCCCGTTCACGTAGGGACAATCCAGGTGGACTCTGGCGAGAGGGTATGGAGTGGTAGCAGTGAGGTCAGTGATGAAGACTGTTTCCCCGGTGTAGACTATGTTGGGCACAGCCGACTTCAAGATGATCGATTGTAGAGCCGCTGTGTCCCTCAAGATCTTCAATTTGAAACGTCCCTCCGGATTTGAACCGTTGGCAGAGACAGTTCCAGTATACAGGTGGTTACTGAAAAGAGAAAGATCATTAACATCAACACCAACATTCATCACAGGCTTACCGGACTTAGGAGGAGTTGGTTTGGGTCGTTGTTGGTCAGTGGTTCCCTTGTATTGAGACTTACCACACTTGTCTATGGTATGTCCATAGAGTCTACAATACTTGCAGTACAGTTGTGAACCAGCTTGATCGGGGCTCACCTTCTCGTAACTGTACCACGACTTCTTACTGGAGGATGGTTCAGGTGTCAGCCGGTGGATGAGGCTGTAAGTGTCAGCCGACTTAGCACACTTCAGGTAGTCGGTTTCTTCTTTATCTGCTAAGTAGAGGCGGACAGGAGGCGGCACACGTCTCAAGAATTCTTCAACAAGCATCAGGTTCACGAGTTCTGTAAAAGTAGAGACATGTGCTGCTTCCAGCCATTTCATGAAATACCTCCGTTTCGTGTTAGCAAACTCGAGGAAGGTAGTGGTACTTGCCTTCAGGTGGTCACGGAATTTCCTTCTATAACTTTCGGTGGAAAGTAGGTAGGCGTCTAACACTGCTTGTTTCAGAGTGTAGTAGTCATTCTCAGACGCCAAAGTACTGAGTGTGACTGCAGCTCTACCTGTAAGATGGACTCTGAGAAGTGTTGCCCATTGGTCGACAGGCCAACTGAGTTGATTAGCAAGGGTTTCAAAGGTGGTAAAGAACACATCAACTTCTGCTTCTACAAAGGATGGCATTAACTTACTTGCATGTGATATATTAAAACTGACGGGAAGATTTGCAGTAGCTTGCTGGCGTTGAGTGAAGTGTGAAGTTTCCAGGGCGATTTCACGTTGACGACACTCTAGAGCCAGAGTTGCTTGTTGCTTGTCATGTTCGCGTTGCATCTCCAACTCGCGTCGTTTGGTTTCAAGCTGTACTCGTTCCCGCTCCTGGAGTGTTTCAAGCTGTACTCGTTCCCGCTCCTGGAGTAGTGCAACCTCACGTTCCTGGAGGGCGAGTCCACGTTCGTGTTCTTCTCTTCTCAAAGCAGCTTCACGTTCTCTGAGGGTGATTTCTCGTTCTTGTTCTTCTCTTCGTATGGCAGCAGCTCGTTCTTGTTGTTCGAGGGCTTCCCTTTGCTGCTCACGTTCAATCTTGGCCAGCTCTAGTTTAAGTTTCATCGTTGCCAAGTCAGTTTTATCTGCAATATAGTAAGTTTCATGAGTTTCAGAGTCTATCTTACCTTGCTCTAAATAGT